CTAAACTTCAACATGTGACCTGGGCCATATACACAAGACCACACACCTTTATGATGAAAACACGAAGAATTCTTCCTCATGGAAAATGTTCCATCACAAACATTACTGAATATCGATATTATTGGATTGCTTTTATTGGATTTGCAAATAGCTCACAAGCACCTGTCAAAATAAGCATATGCGCATAAGCTGGAATATTGCTGAGTGCGGCTTTAAAAAACCAAGCAACCAATCTTTGCAAATGCCTTCGAATGAATTCATGCTCATGATTTACCGGATCATTTATATTGATTACCCGTTGTCATAAACTCTCTGCCGACGCACGATGTTTTTCTATTACAAATGTACAATTCAAGTATCTTCAATGACTATAAACCGAAATGTATAGAGCTACTTATCTTCCATGAAGGTAATATTAAGACTACATGTAATTGTAAAATGTGTTCCACATTTTGTTAAACTACTGTGCATGACTGTATGACAAACTCAGGATGTTTTAAGGGTAAATAAGTCTATTATTTAGTTATAAGGAGGACGGAATTTGTCATTTGCGTACAAAATCCATATAAAAGACACAGCGTGAACAACTAACAAGCCAATGACTATTCGCTACTACCACGAATCAACCTACATGTAAATGAACTACGCAGGTATCGCTGCTGAAAGACTTACGACGCCCTTAGAACATATTCGCAGCGGGTTCTTAGGTGGATGAAGATTGAATTCAGAACTTTGGCTTATACAACTTAAAAGCTAGAAGTTAACGTTTCCTGAACACATGGGTACGTAAGTCCCAAAACTTTCAAAGTAAGATGTAAATTTACCACATTTTAATCGCAGTATTTTCGTTCTTGTAACTTCCGGCTAAATTGGCCTACAATCGCCAGCGACTGAAGGGATGTTGTAAATCCATCTAGGGTCCATGGTCCAGGTAGCAAAGGTACTGTAAGTCCCCATGGTCCCTAGTGTGGTGATCTACCTTCTGTTGTTGGCGATCTCTAGCCTATTTTTTATTGTATTGTCTCAATAGTGCTATTAGTTTTAAACTTTCCACGCTAGTTTTAATTCTAATTGTGATATTCTAGTTGTTTTACTGTCCTTCGTCGACAGGTTTTTATAATATACATATATTCCACTTCAAAATCAAATATGTTCTCGTCACGATATGGCTGCAATATTGCCGATGTGACGTTAAATAATAACTCACTCACTCACTCCTGAACACATTGTTATCAGACCAATACTGGAATGGCCTCCGAGGTACCCTTCGTAATCACATGTACATATATGAGTCCTTTTGATAACGTATGTGGTGCCTCCGACGTTTAGTGACCTTCGTGTTAATAAATTGTCTGTATTGTATGACTATGTACAGAAAGTGAGACTTACATAAACATGGAAGTATGGAAGGATGTTTCGTAATCATGAGATGCCACGAGTTGCTGTCAGGGACTATGACAAGCAGGACGGCAGTCAAACGGAGACACATCAAGAACCATTCCACCTCGCTTGGAGGAAATGAAGAAATTCATTCATTCAGTCATACATACAGTATTAAACTGAATTAAACTATGACTGCCTGAGGTCAGGCTTATGCCGTTTTAGCAATTTTCCAGCAATATCACGGCGGTGGACACCATAAATGAGCTTCACGCATTGTCTCCACATCCGGTTAAGCGAAGTCCACCCACCACCCCGAAATAAACTCTGACTCGATTTCGTTATTTTTAATGCCGCATCGATTGTTATTTATACCAAGAGTCTTTCCCGAAATTTGGCAATCAATTACCCAGCTTTGAACATTTTTGGTTTGGTCACTAAAATTGTAATTCAAAAGGGCATAATAAAATATAATGTGCGATTAAATTCACTCCTTTTACGAATACCACACTTCCAGTTTCGTCACAACTAATATGTGCTATATATGTCCTTGCAGGCAGAACCACCATGCTTGACACCCACGAAATTGCCCTTATTACTTGTATTGACCAAAGTGCAGCAGCCTGCGATACTACCTGATGACACATGTGTGATTATGTAACATCTCGGACAGGGAGTGCGGCTGACAAAAGCGGCATTAAGAAGGCTTTTCGATAGAGTCCGTTTTCAATTACAGAAGCGTTCGATCTCAAGGTCGGAGGAACGTTGAAGGCGGCATATATTGTAGAATGCATGATCTAAACACAGCGAGGAAAAGATCAGAGACGCGAGATTAAAAGAGTACACAGTCCGATTGATTTCTACAACTCCTACGTTCATAATTTCACGAGACGTTGATAGGCAAAGACACGCCTACGAGATAATTCCTACAAGGAGAACATTCGAAGAGATTATCTGAAACTATGCATTGATTATTTAAGAAGTTCGAGGATACCCCTAAATGTGATATCGATAGAAGGAAAAACTCCAGTGCACTGGTGTCTCCTGTTTTCATCACAAAACTGCAAATGTCCGCACGTTAAACACCACGGCGACTTCTGGTTATTACCATTAACATGCATAGATAGTAATACATTGTACAGTAAATATGAAATGTTTATTCCAGACTACACAATCTATAGTATGTGTCTAACGCTGAAGTAGGATAGTGATGCAGTCATCCGCTAGACCTGAGCTGGGCGCAGCTAAGTGCTATAAGAACGTCTTGATACCTTTGATTAAGTGGGGACTCAGTGTGGCTTTGATTCTAGCATTAGATAAAGGATATTACATTGTTAACGCCGATGTGCCCTATGTGTGAGCCAATGCTTGTTTGTATTGTAGTTATTAAATACACTCTCGTGATGGAGATATAAATTTCAAGTTGCATACTAAGTACTAAAGTATGACATATGTTTTATTTTCACTTCCATTTCTTCTATACAACACGGGGCGGTGGGGTAACCTAGTGGTTAAAGCGTTGGCTCGTCACGCCGAAGACCCTGGTTCGATTCCCCACATGGGCACAATGTGTTAAGCCCATTTCTGGTGTCCTCCGCCGTGATATTGCTGGAATATTGCTAAAAGCGGCGTAAAACTAAACTCAGTCAGTCAGTCTATACAACACATATTATACTTGCGATTGAACTTATAACTTTTCTCAGCATCATACCCTCCCCCGTGGTTTTAAACAAACACGTATTGGAATATATGTACATCACAAGATGTTCATAAACTCAGGCCAAAACTATCTGAGATGTGAATTCTATGATTACATTATATACGACTATGAACATAATAACAGCCTAGTCACTGTGCTCTTGCTGCGGAGAACGAGCTGCGTTGAAAAAAGAGACGTATAATTTTCTGTGTTTTACCTTCATTTTCCTTCATCTTACTAGGTTAGTCATTCGTTGACTTCAGGTGTGTAACAGCTGATCGGCAGTTGTTGTAATGGGAAATGTTCATACACCTGAATATAAACAGGCAAACTGATGGAGTAATACCAGTGTTTTCAGTTGACAAGGGCAATGCCATTAACACTCAGAGAAACTCATTCAGGGATGCCACTGGAAAAAGACAATTTCGACAGCTCTATTTGTGGAACCTTAGTAGAATCCTTAAGCTAAAAAATGAACAATTAAACATTTGAAAATAAGTTCTTTAAAACGTTGTAGCCTTTCTCGTCCATATGGAATATAACGATATCTGTCGCACGGAGGGAGGTAGCCCTGCGATCACCTTCGTAACAAATTGAGTTGTCATCTCATCAACTTGGTGATTGTTAAGAAAACGGCTCCTAGCTACCCTGGGTTTTATTTTATGCACGTGGAGAGGTGTGTTGCAGCACTAATTCTGTCATGACATGGCGATGGAGCTTTAAACACCTTGATGCTATGACGGGTGACTGTACCACTGGATCCACGCAGTATTCAATTACTACCTGGCTGAGTCACTCACTTAGTCTCACCAGTAAACACTAACCTTTCGCACATATACGTGAGAGGTCTTATGGTCTGTAATCGCATGTTGATTGTTCTTACTATTATCGTCTTCTGATTGATGCTTCCAAGAATAAGAGTTGGACCAAATCCTCTTTTGACGTTAGAGTCACATGAAAATAATAGTGCTCGAAATTAACCCACATTTAGTCATCAGCGATAACTCCACTGGAAATAACCAGTTCAATATTTATAGCCAGCTTCTAAAATGACATTCAGTTCTGCAATTGAATTCTCACAAGCTGTCTTATCACAAAACTCTCGGTTATTTCACACTTCTTAGGTTTTACTCTACTTTCAAAAGCAGAACAATATGAAATGGTTGTTGTCAGCAATATTCAACCTGTAACAGCAGCAAGGATCTTGATGCCTGAATGAGGACCACACATATCTAGTTAGTCGGGATTTATCTATAGCATTCAGCACAGACAAATATTTAACTTCTTGCTCGCTTCCTGTCAACAACAGTGTTTCGTTGAAATGTTGGAAGCCTCACTTGTAGATGTTCCAGCTGAACGAAATCGGTGTGGAAATACACAACTCTGGACCACACAATCGAGTCTTTTCACATCATGTGGATCACTCTCTGCAGCCTGGATATATGCATAAGTCAGTGATACTGACCATCCGATACCGTCGATTATTACGACAAAGATGGGTTAATGAAGACCGATACCAACAGGCGATTGCTCTGGGGTCTCAGCTTGTATCATTAATTGTTAACTTTAATTTAGAATTACCTCCCTTGGTTGTTTAAATAATACCTTGATCGTTCGAGAAGTTTCATGTTTCCGTTTAACTGTGACCTATTGCTGCTCACCCAGTTTAGTGGGTTTTTTTTGAGAACCTGTTACCTTGTGCACGTGTTTATGATTAATCGTATACTATCATGTGGGTTGCAGTTAACTATAGTCCGTTATAAGGAGGCAACCCGTCCTTTGTCACAGCTGAAGTCAAAAGGTGACTCATTGTTTTCTTTAGGATATTTCCCAATTAACATCTTAATAATCCTCGTCAGTTAAATGAGTACATATAGCTACTGTATTTACAACTATTAATTAACTATGCCCAGCTTCCCTTGTTTGCAGTTAAACGTGCACTCAGCTCTCCTCGTGTTTCTCAGAGCCGGATGTTCTGCTCAATTGCGGATTGTTTTGTGCTTAATTCATTGGTTAAGACAAATGTCCAACACAAATAATGAATTCGTTCAATCTGCAGTGTAACAAAATGTCAATCTTGTTTCAGTTATTGGTAAGTTAGCTATCGGGCCTCGTTTTGACACTCCGAGCAAATAACGTTGTTAATGCGAGAAGGTATGAGTCAATCCTTTTCATGACCAATGCGTTGAGGTACGCGCGCGCGTGTGTGTGGGGGAAGGGGGATGTAGGGGATATTTATCTTAACAAACACTTCAATACACTGCCTGAAACAATAACGCTAATATCGTCGACTGTTGGAAAATATATGCACACTTCTAACAGTCCCAAACCCACGGCAAGATTGATCCTTTTACGATAAGCTGAAAATCCCCGACCGACAACCTTACCTTTGCTCAAATCAAACACTCAGATATGAGTTATTGGAAAACATTGTAAAAATGACCTAACAAAGAAACGTAAATCGATAGAGCAGTAAAAGGCGTATGCCTATCCTTGCACTGCTTCGACTTGACCTAATTAAAAACTGCGCAGAAAAGGTAAATCTGGGAGAACCTGTCGAAATATCTGCTTGTGAGGAAATCCAAATGTCATCCGAAAAAAAGACAATATGATGAGGTTACTTTAGTTATGCAATATCGATTGACCTACATACAACTGGACAAAAATCGTTAAATTTCCATTATATATATTGTTGTGCGATAATGTTTGAACAGTTATACAATGTGCATGAACATTCACTGAAGAGCAGTCTTGGGTCTTATCTGAACTTGGATTATATTTTAACAGAAAGTTGGAATGTACCAAAACCCTCCCTTGGTGCATACAACAATATAGACAGATCTACCACTGCGTAGAATTTTCTAGGTCATCTGTGTGTATATAAGGAGAGCTAGCTATTGCTTTTCATCTCACATTACATATCAAGTCATGCTCGCTGATTTGGTTGAAACATGTCATCGTAACCCAACTGCGTAGATTGATGCTCAAGCTGTTCATCAATGGGATGTCTGGTGCAGTCATGATTATTTACAGACTGCCGCGATATGGCTGGAATAATGCTGAGTGTGGCATTAAGCAACAGACCCATCAGCCAAAAACTTCATGTTTCTGCCTCTGTTAATGTCTAATCCCAGTTTGTTTCTAAACAAACTGTCAATATTATAGTACGAGCGGTGTTTAAATCGTCATAACGTGAACGCTAGTGAATTATCAATCTTGAGTATCAGCTGATATTCATTCCATTGTGCGTAAAAATCAAAATAAATGTAAAAACTATATGAAGAACAGAGAAGGTCAATGATGACTCTAAGTGGGCCAGTTCCCTGGGCGCTGTTCAACTCGTTATGTTTAAAACCGTTTACTTTCCAGTCACTAGTACTGCTCACGCCAATACACCACCACCGTATCGACACTATAACCCTAGTGGAGGATTTCATCAAAGTCATTAAGGTAACCTTATGTGAGCTTAGAAGATCTAGTCGCAAGCTTTGAAGGAATGATTGAGCAGACACCTTGTGATAAAGTCTAATTACGGTTAGACCAATGTAATTCGATGGGAACCATTACTACAACCGCTGTCGTGACATGATCAGAACTGATCACCTGAATTTATGACATTCCTGAACCTATTTTGGTATTTGAAGTGTAATTTTACATTCGGAGGAGGCATTTTCTTAAAATAACCCCAAATGTGATTGGGTGATTTTTTTTTATGAATGTGACATTCATACCTTTAATCATATCTACTTCTTTGATTCGTTATCCCGTACGTTATTGGTGAGGTCAAATTGTCATATGTACGTATTACTCTCTTTCAGCTACATGTATGCACGTGTGTGTGTGGTTGCTGATGCTGACTAGTGCTAGTTAAATAGTGCAAGCGAAAGAGAATACTGCTGAGACACAGTATTTACTATTTAGGCCAGAATCTTTACTTAATTCCTTCATGCCCTTTGTCAGGCTGGTTTACAAAATGTATCATGATCAAAGTATGTTGATGTCTTGCCCGGGCATCTAACTCCCAATGTTGGCTCTGCAGGGTGAAACTTCATCAACAATGTCATGTAGTATCAAATAGTATTATATTACGCAGCATCAAATAGCAGTACAATATATTTCATCAGCAAATAGAACGCAATGTTTTTTCGACGTTACATGGGTTCATTGACGGTACATACACAACCTTGCCTAAAATATTAATTGTGTTTTACAGATTACCAGCTTTTGAGAAATCACAGGAAGCTGTGTTGTTTATTGATTGCGTTTTGACGGTCCCTTGCAATGTTATATGTCGCTTGTAACGTGTTTACAATGAACACCAAACTGCCAGCTGTGCGTAGAATAAAACTTGTATCTGAAGTATTTCATGTGCAATTTCTAGCACACATTTTATATACCTTTTCATCGACAGTAATAGTTAATTCGGCATATCGAACATTGAGAAAACCCAGTGATGAAAACAAGCAATTTGGATACACAAATGACACGCCTCCCATCTTTACATCTTCGTTTCATGCAGATCAATTAAAGACTTTAGGAGTATGATTGTGGACTTGTTCCTGAATAACATCCGTGTCTAGCACAGAGGATTACTGTTAAACCTTGAAAACTATGGTGTAAGCGGACAGCTTTTGGGATGGTTAGCTAGTTATATAAGTAATCGCAGTCAGAGTGTATTTGTCAATGGGTCAGTTTCCAAGCTGAGGACTCACAAGGGTCAGTGCTTGGCCCTTTTTTATTACTTGTATACATTAATTATATAGCAGATGCATTAGATTGCTTAACGGCCTATTTGCTGATGACTCATCTTTGGTTTACTCTTCACCAGATAACAGGATGATTGAAATTAATCTAAGTGCTAATTTATGTAAGTTAAATATTTGGGGTAAAAGATGGCTTATTAAGTAGAACCCAGAAAAGACGGAAGCTGTCATATCCTCGATCAAAAATGATATCAATATACCACATCTTTACTTTGATGGTCTTGAAATTAAAATTGTTGATAATCATAAACATTTTGGAGTTAACCTTACCAACAATGGAAAATGGGCTGACCATATTCAAAATATGATACAAAAAGTTTCAAAAATGGTTTCCTCAATGCAACTATTAAAATATGTATTGTGTAGGGAACTCTTAATATGATCGATGCCATGTTCACTCGGTCGCATCTTAAATACGCACGTGAACTCTGGGACGGGTGTACTCTGGAACAAATGAATATGTTAGAACAGATTCAATTACAAGTAGCGAGAATAGTTACTGATTTACTAAAATATACATCACGTGAATTTCTGTATTTTGATACTGGATGGTAAGATTACAAGATCGTCGTAGAAAACGATGTATAAAATTCAAAATGAAATGGCTCCTCCATACCTAAAAGAAGTGCTTCCCTTGAATGTTGGTTCTAAATCAAAGTATAATCTACGCAGTTCTCTAAATATATCAAGACAAGACTCTCTTTATATACGTACATCGCCATGTGCACAGGCAAATATTCAATATATATATATTGTATTGGTCTTTGACCTAATAAAAATCTTGTCTTGTCTTGTCTTGTCTCTAAATATATCGATTCCGTTTTCCAAGACTTAAACATTCAAAATAATCCTTCTTTCCATCTACAAAATGCTCTTGGAACAATTTAGCAACCACCGTTCGTAATTCAAAAAGTGTCTTAACTGTTAAATCATGTAAAACTAATAACCATGCATATGCACCTCAGTATTATTCGTGTGGTGAAAGATAAGTAAATTCATACCAAGTTACGTTATTCTGTTAGTTCTTTGAACTTTGATTTGTACAGAGTTGGAATGAAAACTGATCCCATGGGATATGTGGTGACGTATTGAAAAGTCGTATCATTATCTGTTTGAATGTCCATTGTACAAACAACAAAGAGTTGTCTTCATGTTATCAGTTAAGCGCATTTGTTCATCAGTAGGTATTTCAGTCGACCTTAAACTTTTGTTAGAATGAAGTGCAGACCTATCATTATATGAAAATGCATGAGAATTCAAGTTAGTGCAATCGTTCATTAGTGAAGCAGAACGATTTGTATAGCATATTGATATTATTCTGTATAAGCGCTACCTCTTTTTACTCATTCTACTTTCTTGTCCAATATCTGTCATCATTATTTGCGGAAATCTAAATTATCTATGTACATACCAATCAGAGGGTATTCTCATTTGGAGAACTTGTTCCTAATCCTTTTCTCAGTGAAGAAAATATGTTTAAAACAAAACATCCGTGTTCATTTCTATCGTTTATGGCAGACACTCATTAGCCTCCTTCAACCGCTGGTATTGTGTCAATGACCCTGATACAGTTCACACTGGCACACGGGGTAGAACATCAAGAAACATATGGACGCTTTAGGGAACAGCGCAGTCAAAGGTGGCTGATGGCTGATCCACAAACACTGCACGGAAATGAAAAGTTCCTCATGACAATGTGAATACAGTGAAAGATGTTATCTCAAAAGGTACATGTAGTGTTAATATGATCACATGCATTACAGTAAAACTAAACTCACTGACCTTCCCAAATAGGCAAACTAATTCCAGCCTTCAGTTTAGATAATAAATCTCGTAATTGTGTTTAGCATGTTTTTTCTTGAATTGAAATATAGATATTTCCTAGTTTATATTTTTTTTATAGATAACCCTTAATCTATTAAAAGCAACACACTTACCCCTGACAATCTCATTCATCTACCAAGTTCATGAGCACTAAAGCGTCAATAAACAATATTTGTTATGAAACATGTCGTGGTAACGTGCATTCCAAATTATATTCATATTCATATATATTGTGATGTCTTTTTATGGCATCGTCGGCAGGAGTGCTGATATAACTATTCCTATTACTGCCGCTGGAGTACCTATGATATTTTACCGTAATCATATTGTCATCAACCGTCTCATTGCCCTTTACAATGTCCTGATTGGGATGGTCGTGACTATAACAAATATCATTATGAATGTTGTTATCATTATTGTTGACAGGTTTTTACAATTTACCATTAATTACTATGTATAAAATTAATTGTTCTCGTCACGATATGGCTGAAATATTGCCGATGTGACGTTAAATTTTCACTCACTCACTCATTATCATTATTATGCATCTGACCATCAGCAATACACCGTCATCCCCACATACAAACTTGGTATTTGCCTCTTCGTCGTGTCCAGTGATTACTGTAGCAGCTTTGACCATGTTTTACTTTAAGGAAATCAACTGCTGTCGGAGACATTGCCCGAGGTCGATCAGTGTTGACATTTCAGCACAGTGAGATTTCTCTGTATAAACACTGACAGGCAGTAAAATTAGAACCAAACCTATACTGTAAAAAAATGTAAATCTCTTGTGGACTCAAGCATCATTTAGGAGGCGTTAGGTTAGTGATACAGTATAGTGTTTATATCAGTCTTCGTACATACGGTGACATCATGGCTGTTGTGGGTGTTTCTGCTTGCGGGCAGCAAGGGTTATACTGACCTCAACACGAGCAGTGACGAACGCAGTAGTGGCGTAGGCGCCAGTGTACTAAATGAAGCGTCTCACCATTCTTGATAATTTCCTGCTGAAGGAGGCTTAAGGCGACTTAGTTTTTCCGATGGATACACCATTGATGTTTGCTTACACACACGTACAAGGGGACGTTGTAAATGCCAGAAGGTGTCCATTGTAACCAGAAGGAATCTATTGATATGTGTTCATGATCATCAATGGCCTGGTCATTTTTAGAAAGGCACATGACTGCAAGCGTAGCTTTCTTTAGCCGTGACAGAATCTATTGACAGTATATTCTCAAATACGTCTGATGTAAATCACTAGTTTCCCTTCTACCATATGTTTCAGTGTTTGTTCAGGTGAGTGAATGTTTTACTTGCATTTGCCTTGCTTATAACAAGTGCCACGTGGTATAAGAGCTAATTGATTGTGGTTCATATAAAAGTATGCATGGTTGTGTTATGACCACCATTTTCGTTAATTTCGATCGTTTTTATTATGTGAGATAAGTTGATTTTTCTGGTCATTTAGACACCTTAATATCACAAGAAAATATGGATACTACTTGTCTCTGAAACCCATCTCCGAGCTATTTTCGTAACTGGTCCTGAACTCAATTCATAGTTTAAACATACTGCATTAAACCTTCCGAAGACTTGCCTTGTCAATCCCTTCATCATATATTGCCACAGGAATGTGTGTTTACTTTGGAAGGAATTTGCCGAGCGAACTCTTTAACCACTAGGCTACCTACCCCACTGCCCCGAAATAGACTATGACTCTTTGTCAGTGTGTCAATCTTTGTCTATTGTTATTTAAAACCAGATTCTTTCCGGAGTTATTGTAATAATTATCCTGCTTTGAACATTTTTTCGTTTAGTCACTAAGTTTTAAATCAAAACGACCATATATAAAAAGCAAGTAAACTCTCTTCGTAAACATGAGAGATTTCTGGTACCATTAGTTAAAAAAGCATCTCCAGTCCCATCACAACTAATATGTGCTATATATGTCCTTGCAAATCGATAAAGCAGTAAAATGCATAAAAACGTATGCCTCTCCTTGCACTGCTTCGACTTGACCTCATTAAAAAACTGCGCAGAAAAGGTAAATCTGGGAGAACCTTTCAAAATATCTGCTTGTGAGGAAATCCAAATGTCATCCGAAAAAAAGACAATATGATGAGGTTACTTTAGTTATGCAATATCGATTGACCTACATACAACTGGACAAAAATAGTTAAATTTCCATTATATATATTGTTGTGCTATAATGTTTCAACAGCTATACAATATTCATGCACATTCACTGAAGATCAGTCTTGGGTCTTATCTGAGCTTGGATTATATTTAACAGAAAGTTGGAATGTACCAAAACCCTCCCTTGGTGCATACAACATTATAGACAGATCTACCTCTGCGTAGAATTTTCTAGGTCATTTGTGTGTATATAAGGGGAGCTAGCTATTGCTTTTCATCTCACATTACATCTCAAGTCACCAGAAGACCGGCATTGTGTGTGATTATCGTAACCCAACTGTGTAGATTGATGCTCAAGCTGTTCATCAATGGGTTGTCTGGTGCAGTCATGATTATTTACAGACTGCCGCGATATGACTGGAATAATGCTGAATGTGGCGTTAAACAACAAACCCACCAGCCAAAATCTTCATGATCTGCCTCTGTTAATGTCTAATCCCAATTTGTTTCTAAACAAGCTGTCAATATTTTAGTACGGGCTGTGTTTAAATCGTCATAACGTGAACGCTAGTGAATTATCAATCAATCAGCCGATATTCATTCCATTGTGCGTAAAAATCAAAATAGATGTAAAAATTATATGAAAGAACAGAGAAGGTCAATGATGACTCTAAGGTGGCCAGTTCCCCGGGCGCTGTTCAACTCGTTATGTTTTAACCGTTTACTGTCCAGTCACTAGTGCTGCTCACGCCAATACACCACCACCGTATCGACACTATAACCCTAGTGGAGGATTTCATCAAAGTCATTAAGGTAACCTTATGTGAGCTTAGAAGATCTACTCGCAAGCTTTGAAGGAATGATTGAGCAGACACCCTGTGATAAAGTACCATTATGGTTAGACCTATGTAATTCGATGGGAACCATTACTACAACCGCTGTCGTGACATGATCGAAAATGATCACCTGAATTTATGACATTCTTGAACCTATTTTGGTATTTGAAGTGCAATTTTACATTTGGAGGAGGCATTTTCACAAAATAACCCAAAATGTGTTTGAGTGATTTCTTTTTATGAATGTGAGATTTATACCTTTAATCATATCTACTACTTTGATTCGTAATCCTGTACGCTATTGGTGAGGTCAAATTGTCGTATGTACGTAATTCTCTTTTTCAGCTGCATGTATGCACGTGTGTGTGTGGTTGCTGATGCTGACTAGTGCTAGTTAAACAGTGCAAGCTAATGATCATACCGCTGAGACACAGTATTTACTATTTAGGCCAGAATCATTACTCAATTCCTTCAATTCCCTTCGCCAGGCTGGTTTACAAAATGTATCATGATCAAAGTATGTTGATGTCTTGCGCGGGCATTTAGCTCCCAATGTTGGCTCTGCAGGATGA